ATGTCAAACTATTTCAAGTATTGTTTTTTAATTGCCCTATCTCTGCACAAGGGAATCACACCATCACAGAATCACAGAACAGTCTTTGGTTCCAAGAGACTTTCAAGATCATCGAGTCCAACCTTTGTCCCAGCCCTATCAACACCACTAAACCACAGCACAACATCCACCTGTCCCTTAAACACCTCTAGGGATGGCGACTCAAACTGGGCAGCCTGTTCCAATGCCTGACAACCCTCTCAGCAAAGAAATTCTTCCTGATATCCAACCTGAACCTCCCCTGGTGCAACTTAAGGGACCGGTTAGCTCAGTGGGTTGAGCGCGGTGCTGAGAACAACGACAGCACCAAGGTTGCGGGTTCGATTCCCGCTCGGTCCCCATGTGTTGTCCGGTCTAGTTGAGAAGTGGCGTTCCTGCCCATGACAGGGAGGTTGGATTAAATGATCTCTAAGGTCCCTTCCAATCCAGGCCATTCTATGATTCTGTGATTAAGGCCATTTCCCCTTGTCCTATCACTCGTCACTAGGGAGAACAGACCAACCTCCTTTCAGGTAGTTGTAGAGAGCGATAAAGTTTCTCTTCAGTCTCCTCTTCTCCAGGCTAAACAGCCCCAGATCCCTCAGCTGTTCCTCATACAACACATGCTCCAAATCCTTTACCAGCTTGGCAGCCCGCCCCTGTACCCTCTCCAGCACCTCAATGTCCCTCCTGTAGTGAGTGGAACAAAACTGGACAGAGTACTTCAGATGGGTCCTCACCAAGGCTGAGTACAGGGGAATGATCACCTCCCTGCTCCTGCTGACACCATTCCTGATCCAGGCCAGGATGCCGTTGGTCTTCTTGTTCACCTGGGCACACTGCTGGCTCCTGCTCAGCCGACTGTCCATCAACACCCCCAGGTCTCTCTGCCTGGCAGCTCTCCCGCCACTCCTTCCCGAGCCCGTAGCGAGCCTGTAGCGCTGCTGGGGGCGGTTGTGGCCAAAGTTCAAGACCCAACATTTGGCCTTATTGAAACTCATTTAACTGGCCTTGGCCCAGCGATCCAGCCTGTTTAGATCCCTCTGTGGAGCCTCCCTATCCTCAAGCAGATCGACACTTCCACCCAGCTTGGTTTCACCTGCAAAATTACTATGGGTGTACTCTATCCACTCATCCAAATCATTGATGAAAATGTTACAACTGGAGTGGCTCCAGCCCTGGGGAACGCCACTCGTGACCAGTTGCCAACTGGATTTAACTCCACTGACCATGACTCTTTCGACTCGGCCAGTTTTTTACCCAGCAAGGTATATGCCCATCCAAGCCAAGAGCAATCAATCTCTCTAGGAGAATGCTGTGGGCAACAGTGTCAAATGCCTTACTAAAGTCAAAGTAGGCAACAACCATGGCCTTTCCTCCATCCAACAAGCTAGTCACCCTGTCATAGAAGGAGATCAGGTTTGTTAAACAGGACCTGCCCTTCATAAACCCATGCTGACTGGATCTGATCACCTGGTCGTCCTGCATATGCTGCATAACGAACTCAGGATGATCTGCTCCATATGCTTTCCTGACTTAATAAATCCTTCCTGAAAAGAAATTTAGCGTATACACTTCCCCTGTGAGATGTAACTTTAAGCATCTGGACAAAACTGGCTTGCTCTTCATTATGAATACTGACTGAGACTTCTTTGCTGCTGATGCTATCGAGTCTCTAAGGAGTGGTATGGTTCAATAATCACTAAAAAAATGTGAAACAAAAAATTTGTTTCAAGAACCATTCCTATGATCACAAGCTCTGTAAGATGCAGAGAGCTATGAGCAACTTGACTACAACAGTATCAAGTACTAATGTCAGCAGACAAAAAGTCTTGCAGCAGGCCCAATCTGTCAAATATAAGTCTCAGCGCTATGAATTAACAGCAGAATTTGCATCATGGAGAAGCTTGTTCTGTTCCTCCACGTTGTTTTCAAATGTTTCCGTTCAGCATTTGGGATCACCTCTTTATACTTACCTTTGCTCTCAGCAAAGATACTGCCTCCTGGTAAAAAGCCGTAACAGCAGTATGAACTGAACTGTCAGGTTTTTAAACTTGTGCTTTAAGAAGGTGCGATTCTGGCTTTTAATCGCTGAATAAAGAGACCAGCTTATGTAGTTGACAAGCAATCTGGACAAGACACAGAAAGAAAACATGTCTCTCAGCATGCCACAAGCTGTGTGATCAAAGCCAGGCAACATGCAACAGAAAAGGTACAATAGCTTCCTTTTTCCCCTCTGCTTTGCATGTTCTGACAAGAAGTTTTGTGATTCTCAGTGACTGGATCCAGAAACCCTTAAGAAAATCTGTATGTATTCACATCAAGAAGAATACAAACACTAAAACACGTAATTCAAACTCACAGATGTTACCATCTTGTAAAAAAAGTTCAGAGAGCTCTTTATTGAAAATGCCACCTTTTTGCTGTGTCAACAAAGTTATTTTCAGTGAGTGAATATGTTTCTCTGTGAAATGCTGGAGCTTTGCCATTCTCACCAGAAAAACAAAGTAATGAATGTAAGTATTTTTAAGGAGTCTTAACATGGTCTAGAGAGCTCTTGGATCAATAAGCCCATGTGTTAGGAGCAGGACACGGTTTGCAAATAAGGAAATAAGGGTCTGGTAACAAAACCATTTCTTTCAACTGGAAGTTTTATATTCCAAAACTGTTCATATCAGCATAGTTTATTTCCTACACAGAAATACCGATAAAATAACACTAAAATACCATAACTACATACCTATTATAATTCCATAATAATAGATGGGTTTATGTTTAATAATGTAACAGTACACTTAAAGCAGTACCTTTAAAGCGTGCTTGTAGATAACCCTTGGATACTTATGGTAGAGCTAATTAGGCAGATTCTGCAAGACATTCCAAGGAAGATATTCATCAGGGTATGCCAGAGACCTGCTTGATCAGTTATCTTTAAAACTCATGACCGGCCCCAAGGGCAAAGACAATAAGCATCAACTTCTTCATTCAACTACTTGGCTATAATAATACTTGGCAAAACCAGAAAAGTATCCACGAGCAAATTATTTGCATTCAACAAGACATGGGCACCAGGGTGTTTGGTGAACAAAGCAATTTTGGCACGTATTTGTTCAATTGCTTTGTTGGCATTTATGTTCTGGCAGAGTAAGTAGCGTGGTCTAAAATTGCTGTGAATATACTCATAAGATGAGTAACTTTACTAGGAAACTAAGTTCCAAGTTAGTGCAGAGTTAAACTGATCTGCTTCAGACAAATGAAACATCACTGAAGTAGGAATCAGTGCATTGTTACTATCAGTCAACAAAAACGAATGTAAGCCCAGTCATGTCAGATTAAGTCCATGCCTGAAAATGGTACAAGCCTATCCAGCTAAATCAAGGAAGTTTTTAATGTCTGGACTCATCTGAGCTCAGAAAAAAAAGGCAGTAGTGGAGCAGACAAAATTTTCAGTGAGACAGTTTAATATTAACCAAGTCTCAGAACACACAAGGTACAGTTTTTATCTGTGACACTAATAGGTCATCCAAGATGCTGAGAAATTTACTCAAAACATAGAGCACGTCAGTGACAGAACTTGAAATTAAAGAGTCAATACTTTTCATGACCCATAGAGCACCACAAGAGCTACCTTAAGCAGCACTTTCCAAGTCACCCAAAGCACCTGCCCAAAAGGTTGTCAGCGCATAGCTCCAGTTAATGACGGGAAGGACTCCAGTGCTTCCCCCTGACTGCCACAGACCCCTGAATGGACCACTGGCTCAGAAAACTGACAGGAATTAGCAAACAAGGAGAAAGGAAGTGAAAGTTCTAGCAGGTCTTACTCTTGATCTTATGTTGGTTAAAACAGAACAGTGGACTGGACCCTTTCAGTTTAGTAGTAGCTGAGATTTACAAGCAACGACAGCATAGCAAGGGATAAACACCACGGATACCTCTCCGGTCGTGAGACTACACTCTGCACCTGAACAAACAATTTCAGCTGCATTGGTCAGGCTATTTTAACTGTTCTGGTGAACAGAATCACAAACTGTTTTTTTCAGATCAAGCTGTGGAAAAAAGCATGGTTTTGTACAATTAATTTGGAGCTTTAAAGAAGTAGCTGAAGTTGAGAATGCTACACAGAGGATGGCAATAATGATGCCAGAGGTATTTCTGAAGAAATGAATGTCTGTAAAAACATTCAGATGCTATCAATAATTTTGCATTAATTCAAATGATTCTTTGATGAATGAACATAATGCTAAGTAAGCATGGCAGTGCTGTGGTGTAATCACACCATAAAGCTAGTTTATTGATCCTGTTACCATGTACTCCAGTTGCAAATAGATGAATAGATGCTTTCCCATTCCATTTAAAAGAAGCAAGAAAGACAGTTCCTAAAAAGTAGGAAAGAACCAGATCAACAGAACAGCAACACTGCAACAAAAGATGCGTTGCTCTTCTGCAGAAGATCGTGATCAATTTGCCCTTCTCTCCTCATAAAAGTGTAATGTGGGATTACACAACTGTTCACAAGTTAAGCTACCAATAAAAGCAGAGAGGAAAGCACAATGGCCGTAAGTAGAAACCACTGCCACGTTTACTTGGGTTATGCATCTCAGTCCTCTCACAGCTTTTAGATCATTACCACATGATGGTCTACATTATATAAAGGACACATAAAAGCATATGCTGCCTAAACATTTAGAGGAAGACCTTAAATGATGTTTTGCATCATGAATAACATGCTTTCAGCAGCAAGCAGACAGAAAGTTTTCTCAAGCTCCAACAAGAAAAATCTCCAAAATTTTTCTGACATGACAACAAAACGATGAGAATGTTGTACCACGCGTGCCAGAAGATTCCTGTGATAAAACCTGCAGGTGTGTGCACATGTACATACACACACATAAGAGAGTGCAATATAACAAAGAATGACAAGAGGTATAAGAATAAAGCAAACCCATTCAGGTAAACAAATATTTTCCTTAAAATAGATTTACCTGAGACTCCAATTCTTCCAATTTACGTTTCCTGGCATGAAGAGCTTTACTTGGAAAAGCCCAGAAATAATTGGAAGTTCCAATTCTATCAGTGTCCACCATGCCGTCATCAACTAAGCTTTGGAGAATCTCTTTCACTGACATTGAGGCTAATAAAAAAAAAAGGCAAGTCAGAACTGCACAGCATCTAAACTATAGAGTATTATGAATAATATAAGCCATCATTTACAATCATCTGCATGAATATTTTACTAAAATGTCAGCTAGCTGGAAGATTTCAAGAGGACACCAAGCCTGATGCTTCACTTGAAGTGATGAATCTCTTTGAAACCAGCAGTTTATACATAAAGGCTGCTATTCTGTACAGACTGCTACCAGATGTTCGTAAAACACTGCTCACGAGTACCATCAAACATACATGCATATTTCAGCACAATACAGTAACAAACTCATGAGAGGGTACTTGAGAAGTTGGCTTGCAATCTTGATTCTAACATGGATTAACTTATAATTTCTTGATTAAGAGTGTAATTACATTTCACTTTGTAACGCTTATCAAAGCGTTTAACAGCAGCACAGGCACAAAAGCCATCTGTCTACAGACTCAGGAGGGGCAGATTTTGCTTTTGATTGCATTCAGTTCCAATACAGAAAGTCATCTGCAGTCAGAAGGATCCAAAACATTTCTGAATATAATTGTTCATATTCTAACAAATGTATGGTGTAATTCAACATTTTAAAAATTATACTTTTTCAGCAAAGCAAAGGAGTTATTATCCTCAAGCGCTGCAAATATAAAGACTTCTGAGCTAATCTATGGTTTGCAGTGTCTGCCTTTCCATTTCAAGTCTAAAGGGGATCTCAGATCAGGAACATCCCATATTTTGGGAGCCCTAGAGTGGATGTTAGTATGGGGGCTTTTCCACAAGCTAGACGATTTTCTTTTCAGAGTAACTGGGGTTTGGGTCGTGTGGCTAAATCCCTACATATGCAGATGCAGGACCAACTTGTGCTATTGAAAGGTGGCAATGGTTTTATAAATTCTACGCTCCAGATTTTTGAGCATGAAATTCCATTGCTTGTATTCACTGTTTGGCATGCTCTTCCTGCAAATTACAGTTAAACATTGACAAAGTGCTCACAAGAGCACCATGTCTCTTCAGATGCCTGTGAGTGCCTCTGTGAGCTGTCGGCTCTGAGATATTCACATAAGTCTGCAGTTCTTTCACCAAGTTTATTTACTCTTGCAGCGTCACAGAGCTACCCTAGTCAAGGACAGTGGTGACCACAAAAACACCATGCTTCACCACCCATTTTGTCAATGAACATATAAGGAAACAGAACAAGGAACACCTAAAACAATTAAACAGCATTACATAAAACCTCTTGGACCTATGGGTCTCATTGGGAAGGCTTTCACTAAAAAGACTAACCCCTTCCACTTACAGCTGTCTGTCCATTTTTAGGGGGGGAAAATCTCAACAGAACATTAACTGCGGACACCTGGACAAGCATTTATGATATCTGTGACATTACAGACAGATGTTTAATTCCTCTGTTCGCTACCTCAGGAGTCATAATCGTTTCATAGACTAAAAGTTGCTGCAAGTCAAGCATCTCAGAGTCTAAGAAAAACCCCATCCCATGTTTCAGTAGCTAGCTTGGAGTTAGCTGAGACATTTTAATAATCTCCCAGTTTGGCCCAAACATCTAACGTAAGTGACAAACATTAGCAAACTGAAGTAGGAGTATGCTGTTGATGTCATTTTTAATGCTACAGCCTGGCCATTGACCAGTCTCTCTTTCTAGCATTTTTCTTCCCCATTATTACCATCACAAACCTAAAACTGGACCAGCCAGGAAAACTTACACTGCATGACCTGTCCAAAACGTGATTAATGGCTCAAAGAAATAACTTTTGTAAAAACTTACTAATCCCTTTTTCTTTTGGAGCAATCTTCTCTATATCCTTCAACTGGAACACATCTTTCTGTGCAAAACAAAAAAGACACTTTAACTCCAAATGACAGCACCATCTAAGCCTGAGTGATTTTCACACTAAATCAATGGCCATGAAAACAAGAAGACGACAGGTTTATGTTTTGCTGGGGAAACAGGCTGCATATCCCTCCAAAGAATTAGAGCATTCTGCAAATTATGCAAATAAATTTAAAAATACCATTATTCTAACAATCCCTGTTCTTTTCTTTGGTGTTCTAAAGTTGCCATGTTTTGTATCAAGTTAGACTGTAAACCCCCTAGTGTAGGCAGAGCCCTGATTAGACCGTAGCTGTGCCTTTGGATATCCAGGTTTCTTCTCCCCAGACCTCCTCCAGGTCTGCTCTCATCTCTTCTAACACTCAGATCTCCTCCTCCTCCTATAAACTGCAGTGAGACTTCCTAATCTCTTGCTCTCCTTCTTAAAGACTCAAAACGAGATTTGAATAGGGAGCAAACAAAGCATTTAACACCACCTGTGCACCTTCATGCCATGGCTCCACCTGAGGACAAGTGATCTGACCAAAAGCTACACAAATCAAGCTGTTCCCTGTAATTTATACATTGATGACACAGTGAAATGCATAGCAGGAAATACAGAGTTCATATACGCTTCAACTTCTTTTAGGATTCGTTTTCCCACTGAACTAAATGCAGGACAATTACAAGTTACTTACTGTTTCAAAAAAGATCTCCATCATACGAGCTCTCTTCTCCTCAAAGCTCAAACCTCTTTTCTTGGACTAGAAAAGTGAAAAAAACCCAACACAACACATTCAGCCATTTGAATAATTAACATCTCCCTAGAATTCAAATCTATTTACCTCTAAGTTATATTTGCCATCTTTTAAAATACCTTACCACTAGCCCTAGACTTTTAGATAAACTACTTGTTCCCAAAGAATCATGACACCAATCTAATCCACTTGCAATCTATTAAACTGAGAGACCTATGTCCTACCTTTGGAACCAACCTTTCACATAACTCAGTCCAGCTGAAGCCTCGATATTTCTTGGCATACCCAAACAGTTTCTTGGTTTACCTTATTAGATTAAAAATGTGTATTTAAAACAATTCTCTGCAACTCATCCAAATATTTAATGATGCTTCAAATAAGAAGGAATATTGTTTGGGTCTTTTTGTTTTGAATTGCTCTTTCTCTTGTGATAGAGAGATGCTTAGTGCAAGATGTAGGCCCTTTAGGTTTTTTTTAAGGAGATAAAGCACATTTTGAGGTACTACATCTTTCTTCAAATTTGTTTTATTTCTTTTCTCTGCAGTTGTGTGACAAAACAGTAAATAATATGGATCAAAATAGACGCAAAACGCAGAAATGACTACTCACAAACCGCTGGCGAGTAATACAAAACGGAGAAATATCCTCCTCTGATCAGAGACACTATTTTGATATGCCCCTTGTAAAAATGGGATACAAAATTTAGGATATAAAATATTGCATGGAGAAATGGAGTTTTATTAGTTGGGTTTAGCATAGATCTCAACAACTCAAAAGCAGTGGCTGTAATGTTTCTCCTTGCCCTACTCCCTGCTTCACAGGCTGTGAGAGCCTATGCTGCTGCATGTGGCTACAGGAAACTGAAAGGGAGATAGAAAAAGGAAAATAAGATGCTGATAGAAATAGGTTAAAGAAAACAAAGAAATACTGTCCTTGAGTCAATGGAAGTGGGTGTTCTAATAACATGGTGCTTCATAGGTTTGTTTCCAAGCCCTGACAGAAGGCAGTTGATACCATTTTTACTTCTTAACTGCTGCTTCTCTGAAACAAATCGCACGGTGGGGGAACGTAAGATTCAGAGCACGCAGCACGAGCAAAAGAGCCACACTGATGTAGGTTGTAAAAAATCAACCGAGAAACCAGCTTGCACAGCTACAATAACGCACGCACACAAGGAGAAGCAATTCGGTGCTCTGTTTAACAAAAGCACTAGGAATATGTTTTTTGTCTCCTCCTCTCCGCTTTAGCCAGCGATGGCCCTACGTCATCACTGACGTCAGGGCCGTCTCCTACGTCAGCCCGTCGCAGGGTCAGCACCTGGAGATGCCGCGGGCGTGCGAGTGGGAACACGGGCAGAAAACGGGCCGCTCGACCTCTTTCCCCCGCGCCACCTT